TTGGGGGCCAACAGAAGTGAGGCAAAGAACCTCACCCTGCCACTGGTGCAAAGGCCAAATTTGGGGGCTAACAGAGATGAGGCAAAGAACCTCAGCCCCCCACTGGTGCAAAGGCCTATCAAGTATGACTGTATGCTGGACCAGTAGTCAATGACGGGTAAGATCTAATTGCAATGGTACCAACCTAAGACAAGAGGCTGATGCTTTGAGGTCAGCTCATCTGATGATGGATAAGGACCATATGTAGTATTGGACAACCTAAGACAGGCATGGTCCCTAAGCCACATGCTTGGTGTTTAATTAAACAGAAGGGGGGAGATGCTGAGAGCTACAGCCAAGTCGGAATGAAGCATGGCATTTTGCCAGAAGGGAGTGGTTGAGAGGTGATACCAGGGAGCCATTGAGATGATGATGGTTAAGTTGTATATTCAGTTGTATATAGACCCTGCTGTCCACCTGGGATGCCCATTATTTTGTGGAGTTCTTGTGGGGATTCCTGGGGAGTTTTCGTTGGTTGGTGAAGTTCCGGTGGAGGGAGTTCCGGTTGGTGTGTGGTGTTCCTTAGAGGGCCCTGTGGGTGGCATCCGGGGGAGTTTGGAAATAAAGTTTATTCCTGCTTGAGTGGCTCGTGATTTGTGCCCAGCCAGACTGCGGCACAGGGGACTAACACATCCTCTGGGTTCATTGCTAGGACATTGAAATTCTTGTTACTATAAGTGGTGGCTGGGCTGGGGTTGTGGCTCAGCGGTAGTGCTCATCTAGAACATGCGAGGCCCTGGGTTTGATCCTCTGCACCACATAAAAATAAGTAAATAAAAGCATTGTGTCCAATTACATCTAAAAAGAAAAAAAAAATTAAAAAAATAATGGTGGCTGTAGCAGGCAGAATGATGGACATCCAAATCCCAGGATCAGTTTTGCAGATGTGGGGAATATGTTTTGCAGAAAGCCCAGTAGCAGCAGCAGCAGATCTGTGGAGAGATTCCGGGTGTGTTTGGGGGTGGAATTGAAGGGATCTGCTGACAGAAGGGTTGTGGAGGTGGGGGAGGATGAAACAAGAATGACTTCTAGGTTTCTAACTTGAATAGCTAAGAGAAGGACATGCTGACAGACTAGGAAGCCTGGGGACCAGGGTGGAGGTGGACTTCAAGGTGTGCGTGGTGTGCATGGGGGTGGTCAGGAGGTCAGGAAATTGTCAGTACCTTAACCTTGAGATGAAAGACACCACAGTGGAGGTGGCAAGGAGGAAGATAAACATTTTAACCTGGAGTTAGAAGAACCTTTTTTTTTTAAGAGCCAAACTTTAATGTAAACATCAAGGGTGTCCCCAGTGAATTACTGATGGGGTTTTCAGTACCTTCCATTCAAGCTACCAAAGTCAGAATCAAAACCCTGAAAGGTGAATCTGATGACCTCTTTGGATACCTACAAACTATATGACGAAATATTTTAAAAGGAGGCATCTAGTAGAAGAAAGAAAAGCAGATCCTGTAGCCTCTAAGAAAACAGACACCACAATGCTTCTGGAATCTTCGCCCCAAAAGGAGCTGGCTCACTGCCAGTGCTCCACACTGAGCTGCTGTTTATGTACTGCAGAGTCCTGGGCCTTTGTTGGCTAATGGAGGCTGTAAGAGACAATAAATAGCTGAAACACTGGTACAGGAAAGTGCAGCCCATCAGCAGCTGGGCCATGGACCCTCATAAGGCAATCATGGCTGTTTAAAAACAACTTCTGTCATCCCAGGCTGCTTCCTGTGGGAAGGGTGGGTTTCTGTCTTTATCCAAGTCTACTCACCTTCCTTCCTCTCACTGCACCCCCACCCCCGCCCTCTCTTGCCCACTCTGGGGCCTCAGTCTTGCCAAGTCAGCTCTGATTTTCACGGAGTGAGCCCCTGAATCCATCTCTCCAGCAGGCTTTCCTCTTCAGCACATTCTCTTGTACAAGACTGGGAGTCTGCTCAAATGTGCCCTAATGCAAGGTCTGCACCACCCAAAACATATTCATGGCTTCCCCAGGCAACCTACTCTACTTCCCTCGACACATACCACCTCCCCTGTTTTTCCTTGCAAGTTCCTGGATTCTTACATGTAAAACAGATGATTGACAAAGGTAAGATGCATATGGTTTGCTTCTGTATGCCCATTTTGAGGGTTAGAGGCAGGGAGATAAGTGAGAAAAAAACTACAAAGTAAAACTTACAAAGTACACAGTCACTGGGTAAAATTTATAGTTCAAGTAATCACCCACTGTCACACACACAGTTGTGGGTCGCTTCCTCAAAGTCCATTCACCCGTTTGTCTGCTCACAGAACCCATGAGACATTCCACTGGGGGATTTACCAACTCAGCTAGATCGCAGCTTGAGTTGGGCCCACGGGCTGGAGCCAGTCCCATCTTCCAGGTTACAGTGAGCACTCAGCCGGGCATGTGCTCTGTGGGTCACGGAACAACACCAGGGCCTCAGCAGGAAGAGGAAGACAATCTCTTTTCTCTTCTGGGTTGACGGAGGGAAGACTGAAGTGAGGCTATGAGAGCCTGTCTTGGGGGCTGAGGGACTGTATGTGTGGACTCAGATAAAACAGACTTTGCAGAGGGACAGTGGAGAATCAGCTGGGAACCACATCTCTGGAGACCAGAGGAGCTGAACTAATGCTGAGTCCAAGACACAGAGGGCTGTGTGAGTCTGTCTTGCTGCAGATGCAGTCAAGAGTTCTAGACTAGGACTGTGCCTGTGAATCAGGGAGAGCACTTGTCAGGCACGTCCCAGGACCTGGGCTCAAACCCCAGCACGTCAAAGAGTTCTGTGTTACAAACTCACAATCCCGCTGCCCAGAGAGAACCAGTGTTGACATCAACATCTTGGGTTCATTTCATTCACTTTAATGCTTCTACATACACAATTTCCTTAATTTTTTTACTTTTACAAAATTGAGAAAATATATATATATATATACTCTTCTGAAATATTTCACATCAATCAAACCTGTTATTATCATTTCTAAACACTGTGCAATATTCTAGGGATATACCATAATTTAACAAGTTTCCTATTACAAATATTACAGGACAAATTCTTAAAAATTGATGGTCATAGAACATGTACATTCTTCAGGCTCTGATGAGTCTTACCAAATTGTCCTCCAAAAGGAATACAGCATTTATTGTCCCATCAGCATGGAGACTGGCATGTCTAGGGATAGGAGCTGACCACAGGAGAGATTCTCACTAAGACAATATTCATTTAGTTTATATTTATTGTGTGTCCATTTTTTGCATGACACTGTGACAGGTGCTGGGGATACAGTGGTGAATAAGACTCTCACCCCTCTTCCGTCTCCCCAGGTGGCAGGTCTGGGCACAGGCAGGGCACTGTAGCCTAGTAACCAGTCAGGGGTGCTGCACACAGTGCTGTAGCACATGTCTGGCATCCACAGGCCCTGGGCTAGATCCCCAGCAACACACACCCCAAATTCTCTGCATATTCTGATGGGGTGTGGCTCAGTGGCACAGTGCTTACCTGACAAGTATTGTGTGAACCACTCAGCCCTGAGGACACAGTGGAGCCACACTCGGCACTGACAGCCCACGTTTAGCCACTTTCTTCTCCTGTACAGGTGGCCCAGATGCCCTTGTTGCAGGGTTCTGCTACGGGGCGGCCCACACAAGGCACTCGGAGACTAGAAGGCAGGAGGAGGCAGAAGCCCTTATATAGCGTGGAGACACATGTTCCTATAGAGGTACATGTTGGCGAAGGGACATGTGCACAGGCTGCCATGAGGGCAGCAGCAGTGGACAGCCAGGGGTTCATGGAGGTGCTGGGAGGCAAAGAGGCATCAGTGCCCCATGCAGGGGCTACAACAGCTACCTGTATAGTCCCAAACTCTGGATAATCCAACGCCCCCCCACCCCATGCTGACTCCTTCATTCCATTTAACAACCTTTGTAACCTAAAGCCCAACAAATTCTCTGTTTTGCTTTCCTGAATGACAGAAAAGCCTGCCGCTAAAATTACCCTTGAAAACCCAGCAGGAGTTGTCCTGAGGCTTCCGACAAGCCTCAGAGCCAGGCTTTCAAACAACGACAGAAGAAACTGCTGCTCCTCTTTTTGTTCAGCTGGACACCACATGAACGCAGTAACCAGCTTTCAGAGGACAGCTGATATGAGGAGTACCATTCACAGACACTAGAGTCCAGGCAGACGGGGTGTGCAAGCAGTGACACACACCAGTTGGAGGAAGAGAAGATCCACACATCCACCTCTCGCCTTTCTGCACCAGGAACGAACTGCACCTGAGCCCTGGAGAAACAGAGTGCAGAGTGGCATGTGTCTCGGTGCTGAGTGTGCCGTGCACCCACACAACCAGCACCACAGGTGTGCCCTCCCCTCTACTGCTCTGCAGCCCCATGGGCGTGCTCCTCTCCACACAACAGCACTTTCATAGGAATGTTAGTAAGTTTCTCATGCTCCACAATAGATGCCATCACCTGCTCCGGCCATTGTAAACATCACTGCCAAAAAGAACTTTACTAAGTGCTATAGTTTGGATGCCAAATGTCCCTCAAAGGTGCACGGGTTACTGGCCCACATCCTGGCCTGCACGGACTATATAATTTTTGAGTTTCCCTTGGTGTGAGGAAAGCTAGCTGAGAAATATAGCGAAAAACTACCCAGCACAGAAAATAATTTTCAAAGAGCGAGGGCGGGATGGCTCTGCAACCTCAGGGGTCCTGCCTCCACAGTAGGAGGAGAGAGAGAAGAGCCCACTTTTGCTTTATTTATACAAGGGGGCTGCAAAGGATTTCAATGGAATGTTCTTTTGCCAAATAAGGTAGGAGGGGGGCTGTCCAAGCCCAGTAGGTAATGCCCAAGCCCGGAGCTAAAGAACAGCCTCTCTAGCCCAGTGAAGACGGAGCTCACCACGTGCTTTGTGTAATCCATTAAGTGGGAGAAGCCTCAAAATGACTTTTAATGCCAAACCAAAATCTCCTTGGCTTCAAGGCTGAGTAGAGGCTATTCAAATAGCTCAGGGATGGCCCCCCCATACGTGCTAAAAGCTTGGTTCCCGGGGTGCTGTTGGTGGGAAGTGGCAGGACCTTTAAGATGAGGGGCCTGGTGCAAGGTCTCCAGGGTGGGGCCTCCCTCCTCTCCTCCTCCTCTTTTGCTTCCTGGCCACGAGGTGACCACTTCTGCTCTGCCGTGCACTCCAACCATGCTGTGCTGCCTCACTACAGACCAAGGCAACAGGACCAACTGATCACGGAGCGCAGCCTCCAAAACTGTTGAGCCAGAACAGACCTTTTCTCTTTACAAGCCGACTGTCTCAGGTATTTTGTTAGAGTAATGGAAAGCTAACATGTTAACATGTGTACAAACTAAGACAAATTAACAAAAAAGGAAAAGAAATGGTAACCTCTGCTTAACTTTGTTCTTCTGTGTCTTCTCCTTCACTATCGTCTTCAGAATGAAAGATATCTCTAAATAGGAAAACCTGCTTCGGTGCTGTGGGAGTCTGGATTCTGGTCCCTTTTCTCGCCATCTTCTTTTTTAACTTTTCTTTAAGCACAGGTAGACTAGTCTTGTAAAGGTAGTCGATGATCTCTGCAGAACACAAATTTAACCTTGAAATTATTCACCTGCACAAAACCTCTTACATCAAAGAACATGGGATACAATAATGCACCGATCTTATCACCACAGGTTACTCATTTTCTCTCGCCCAGACCTTGAACAAACCCTATGAGTTAGGCCCTATTTTTAACCCAGTTTCCCAGTGAGAAAACTAAGGCAGAAAGAGCAGCTTGCCCAAGGCCATGGAGCTAATGGGGGTGCAACTTGGGAAGTGGCGTGAGCTGAATGCAGAGCAGTGCCTCAGCACACGCTCCAGAGTCCAAGGTTACCCCAACTGTGGCTCCAGGCAGAGCACCACTGCTGGGAAGGCTATAGCATACCTCCCTGGAGCATGTTACAGGGAAACCCAGATTGTGCACTCTGTTCAGAGAATCTATGTTTCTAACTAGTGCCCCACAGAGTCCCGATGGATCTGAGTGTGGGAGCCCCACAGCTAAACTCCCTGTGGAACCAGGCACCTTCCATTCTTTCTGGAACAGCATGTCGTGTGGTGTGAGTACACGGGGAAGTGTGTGGGCTATGCTGTCTGCACACGTACACACGTGCCATGTGCACATGTGTGCACAAGTGTGTGTGACAGAAGCACCAGCAGGACACAGTTACTGAGTGGTCACCAAGTACCAAGCACCATGATAACCACATAACATGGTGCATCCCCTCACTTGGTCCTTTTGAAACTCCTGCTAGATGAGGATATGATTGCCAATATTCACCATTTTACACCTGGTGAAGCTGAGGTTCCAGGAATCACATCACCTGCCCACATGACTGGGCTCTGAGCCACCCATGTTCAAAGTACTGACCTGGAAACGTCTTTCTCTGCCAAAAGGGAACACAGGCCGCCTTCAACTTATAAAACTTAGTTTGAACATAAGATGGAGGCACATCGCTTTAGAAAGAAAAAAAAGAAAATGTCAGTTAAAACTTACCATTTCAATACTTGTGTAGTAAACACATTTATTCAGGTGGGGGCTATAGACACACCTAGTTTTCTTACCTGGAACCTGAAATCATCACATGTATAAATGTGTGGCTTGAGCCACATCCCCAGCCCTATATGTCTCATTTCTATTACACATTTTGATACAGCAGTATAAATCCTGCCTGTCAAAAAGCATTAACGGACAACTTCACAGAAATTTTTTTTCTCATATTTCTTTGTCAGCCCTGTGCTTCTATTCCCGCAAGCAGCTTGGGCAAGTGTTTTAAAAGCTGAAGAAATGTGACACTGTTTGCTTGCTTGTTTTTTGAAGATAAAATGGCTGATTGTAAAAGTTAGATTTATTTATTATATAAACTTGGGTCCAAGATGACATTTTTTAAAAATCTTGTTTTTAGATATACATGTATATGATCTCTCTATTTTGTTTATTTATTTTATGTGGTGCTAAGGATCGAACCCAGTGCCTCATATGTGCAAGGCAAGCACTCTGCCACTGAGTCACAACCCCAGGCCCCTAAGATGACATTTTTAACCAGCTTATGAACAATCTTGGTAAGTTGGAAAATACTTTTTCTTTTTTTTTTTTTTTTTTTTAAGAGAGAGTGAGAGAGGGGGACAGAGAGAGAGAGAGAGAGAGAATTTTAACATTTATTTATTTTTTCTTAGTTCTCGGCGGACACAACATCTTTGTTGGTATGTGGTGCTGCTGAGGATCGAACCCGGGCCGCACGCATGCTAGGCGAGCGCGCTACCGCTTGAGCCACATCCCAGCCCCGGAAAATACTTTTTCTACAGGATAATTTACGACAGTCAAGTTGATGATGCTTGTCCATTAACTTTTTTTTTTAAATATATGGGTGCCCTAGCCTCAACCCAGACAATTAATTTTTTTTTAATATTTTATTTTTTAGTTATCGGTGGACACAACATCTTTTTTGTATGTGGTGCTGAGAATCGAACCCGGGCCGCACGCATACCAGGCAAGCGTGCTACCGCTGAGCCACATCCCCAGCCCTGTCCATTAACTTTTTATGCATCATTAATAAAATTACAATAATAAAGAAAGAAAGAAATGAGACACATATGAAGTTATTGCTCATTTGGACCAAAAACAACAAAGCAGCTGGGTGCAGCTCAGGCACGGAACGCATGCTTAGTGTGGAAGGCCCTGGGTTCAATCAGTAGCACCAAACAGTAGCAGCTCTTCAGATGGCTCTGTTCAGCTGAAGCAGGAAGTCACCAGGGAAATGCGGTGTGGTGGCTAACCCACGCGGAGCTTGCCTGGGGCTGGCTGCCAATGGCCTCACACAGCACCAACAATCCTCGAAATACTCTGAACTGGAGCTGCTCCTCTCCCTCTTCTCCCTCTCACTTTGGAGGTGAGGAAATTGAGGCACAGCTAACAAAGGTGGGTGCTAGGACTTGTGCTGAGTAGTCTACTCCAGATCTACACCCTGGTTACCACCCTTCAGACAGGTACATTTGTCACAATTCCAAGGTGGATTTATATATTTTTTATGTGCAGAACTAAACAAACCAACAAACAAACAAACAAAAAAGCCTACGGTGTTTAGATTTTCAATTTACACTATATTTCAACTAATAATAAGCAGGACAGAAACAACCAAATCTAATATTTTTTTTTAAAGTAAAAATCACTTAACTAAACTATCTGGCTTTTTTTTTTTTTTTGTACTGGGAATTGAACCCATTGGATCACACCTCCAGTCTTTTTAGTATTTTAAGACAGGGTCTTCCTAAGTTACTCTCTCACTAATTTGCTGAGACTGGCTTTTAACTCTTTTTTTTTTTTTTTTTTTTAAGAGAGAGAGAGAATTTTATTTTTAATATTTATTTTTCAGTTCTCGGCGGACACAACATCTTTGTTGGTATGTGGTGCTGAGGATCGAACCCGGGCCGCACGCACGCCAAGCGAGAGTGCTACCAGTTGAGCCACATCCCCAGCCCTGGCTTTTAACTCTTGATCCTTCTGCCTCAGCCTTCTGAGCCATGGGATGATAGGCGTGTGCACCACGCCCAAAAAGGAAGAAAAATTTAAAAGGAGCCAAGCATCCATTTTAAAAAGTGGAAAAACAAAGCAAAATATTGACTCAAAGAGAGCTGGGAAGTTTTAAGAGACTTTGAGCACATTTCATTTACCTTTAGTGTCTTTAGTGGGGGTGGAGGTGGGACGGCTGATCAGATTTGCTGATCCACAGTACACAGAGTTCTTTTTTTTTTTTTGTGGTGTTGGGGATTAAACCCAGGGCTTGTGCACGTGAGGCAAGCACTTTACCAATTGAGCTATATCCAAAGCCCCAAAGTTCCTGAATACACATGTGTTTATGTAACATGCATGTACCCACCAATGCTCCACGCAGTTTGTCACCAAGAATATATCTTGAAGCTCTCTACTGCCACCTAAAGGCTTTCTCATTCTCTACTGAGCTACACAGTATCTCACCGCACCAGAGCCATCTACCCACCCACCCAGGACACTATCAGCGGACAGTCAGGCTATTCTAGAAAAACACTATACACTACATTGTTCTGCACAGAAGCCATTTCAATTTTGTGTGAATTTATTCTGTAGAATATATTTCTAGAAATGGAATTACTCGATTCCAAATAGATTCACTCAAAAGGAAAAATTAGAATTTTCAATGGCACTGAGGCCATAGAGCACATCAAATCTGCCACATATTAACAATGTCCAGAGGGGGTAAACACGGAGGCTTAGCAAGGATGGCTTCAGCTACTGAAGGGGGTGACAGAAGCAAAGGGCCATTTATTTTGTATTTGTCTAAACTTTCTCTGACAAAAAGTTCCAGGGGGTAAAAAAAAAAAAAAAAAACTACAATGCTGGTAAAATAGTACGTAGAGGAAAACATATGGCTTTGAATTACAGCAGAAAGGAAGAAAAATTTAAAAGAAGCCAAACACCCATCTTAAAAAGTGGAAAAACAAAGCAAACTATTAACTCAAAGAGAGCTGAAGGAAAAATACAATAAAGAGCAGAGCAGACGCCAAAACAACCAGCAGAGGGTGGGCAGCTCAGAGCTGGTTCTTTGAAAAGACAACCTCTATGACTCTTGTTCAGAAAGAGGAAAAATCGGAACAGTGCTCCTGTTCTGTAGCAGGCACCTAGTGTAGGATGCCCAGGAGGGGCATGGGTGTGGGTTTCCATGGGACTGGGGCCACCCTTCACTGTTTCCCCTCCTGGCAGCCTCTCCAGTTATGGACTATGTAACCTATTTCCTTTTCTTTAAAATATTGTAAATCTCACACAATAAACCCAAGTCCTTCTTCCTTTTGGGTGTGGGTGTAATATTCAATTCTGTATTTGCATTCTCATATGCCTCTAAAAAAAATCCTAACTAGAACACAGTCCCAGAACCACATTAATTCATTAGACCAAGAGCAATGGCAGGACATTATAACCATCGGGGAGCGTGGAAAACAGAGGACACCCAGGCTCCACCCCAGACCAACACTCCTGGACTGCCTGGCTGTGGCATCAACATTCCCAAAAAGCTCCCCAATGAGCTCAATGTGCAAGCTGGGCTGAGAACCCAAGTCAGAACGCCACGAGGGTCACAAAGCTCCAGCCTAGGCACACAGGGAGAACCGTAACCCCTGCCATGTCTGCAGACAATGCCATGTTGTCATGGCACTCATGACACTCATGTCTCAGCAACCTGTGATGCAGGGCAGCCTGGCTCAACCGCTGCCGTCACACACCCTGGCCATCCTTTGTCCCTCTGATGTGCCAGCCACTGCCCGCCTCCCCTGACTTTCACATTGCTCCCCTCTGCCTAGGACACTCTTCTACTCCCATCTGGTTTATGTGTCGCCCTTTGTGACCACCTGGAGAGGTCTTCTAACCATCCTATGTCATGACTCCCTCCCCAGGTCTCTTCTACCCTACTTTATTATTTTGTTAGGACCCAAGCTGTCTGAAACTAGCTTACTTGCTTACAGTCTTGTTATAGGAGAGGTGAGCCCTGGAGTCCTAACTCACTCGAGTCTTGTGTCTCGTATGCAATACGGGGTCAGAAAGTAGACTCCGTTAGTGCCATCACTGCTGTTAGCATAGTTTGTTGAGGGCTTTTAAGTCAATCCCTTAGTATACAAAAATATCTCTATCAACAGAACAGAAGCTCTGCCAGGGAAAGCAACTATCTTGTTCAATGCTCCATCTTGAGGCCAGGAAAACGCATAGCACATAGCTGCTCATCCTGGTAGAAGAAGAGCAAATGGGCCTTAATTTTCCAGTAAAGAGACTGAAAAGGAGCACACGCCAGAACCCCTTGGTCTCCAAGGCAGAGTGTGCACAATCTGTCTCTGCCGCCTCGCCTGCCATGATCAGTGGACAGCATGCTGACACTTTCCTAGTTACAACCATATTTTTTTTTTTGGGGGGGGAGGTGGGGTATAACCAGGGATTGAACTCCGGGGACACTCAACCACGGAGTCACATCTCCAACCCAATTTTTGTGTTTTAATAGAGAAAGGCTCTCAGTGAGTTACTTAGTGCCTCACTATTGCTGAGGCTAACTTTGAACTCGAGATCCTCCTGCCTCAGCCTCCCGAACTGCTGGGATTACAGGTGTATGCCACCACGCCCAGTCTACATATTTTTCACTTGAACACTCAACTAAGTAGGCGGGGGTCACAGTATCATGCTCTACCTGAAGTCTAATCTCAGAGCACTTTGGGTATGACGAGCCACAGCCCTCAAGTGCACAAACACACAGAAAACAAAAAACGTCCAATTAATGCTATTTAGTGAAATGAAAGCTTACCTAGCTAACAACTCAGTGCCTTTAATTATCTGCTTCTAAAATTTATTATTTACTCTGAGTTATATCAAATTGGTTTTCTTGCAAACTGGATTAATTTTAAGTATCATTTACACATAATTCCATATGCAGTATGAATTTCAGACCCACTTTTTAAATTCTGAGTCATCTCTAGTTTGTAAGTTAACTTAGTATTTAACAAATGGTCTTACCCTATGGCACTAGCAAGATCTTCCCAATCTATTTCATTGGCGTCTTCCACATTTATTTCATATAACCTGTAAGAAAGAACAATGAAAATCTCAAGCAAAAATCAGGACAAAGCACATCTTCATGGAACCCCAGGATGTCAAGGGCTGGAGGCAGCTGGGGTGTTTGCCCCATCCAAGGCCAGGCCACCAGGCAAGTCAGTGACTGAGCATCTGTGCTCAGCACTCACAGCATGACAGCCATGGTGTGAAGACCTTTCTGTGCATCGTCACTTAGAGTGACCCTTGACATCTGTGATGAGGTCGGGGGACAAGGCCCATTCTGGACTCAAGGAAAGGGGATTGACAGGCCACTTGCTCAAGGCTTCACAACTAACAGGTGTGCCAGCACTGGCCCCGGCCTGTCTGACCTGACCTGCTCGTCTATGCTGTCTGTCTCTCTGGCAAGGGAAGAAAGGTGGCCATGTAACTAGGCAGGCGAGTATTGAGAACAAGGAGGCACCCCAGTGAACCAAGCAGAAGGGCTGACAGGGCGCCCAGAGCCAAGCTCTCCACTCTGTGCTGTTAGTTGGTCAATACAAGCCCAGGCCACATCTCCTCTGCCCTTGGAACGCTCCTGGGAAGACTCTAAGAGACCAAGCCACAATGCAGAGCAGCAGGGCTCTGTCTGAATTTTCTATTCACATTTTCCAATGGACAGAAATAACTCCCATCCATAGGGAAAGCTCTGAAGACTGAAATAACCAGTGAAGGAGTGCACAGAGTGCTCCATGCACATGTCTCCACCCAACCCTCCCAAGGACAGCAGGAGGCAGGGAACTTCTCATCTTCAGCCTCATTTAAGGGAAACAAGCAGAATGAATTTGTTCCACCCACAGTACCTGTAGAAAGTGCCAGAGCTTGTACCTAACCCTTAGCAATGACACGGCAATCTCTGCTATGTCAACGGCCACTCTGGCTAGAGATAAAACCCATTAAAATAGCACCAAGTTCTGTCCCTGTACCTTTCAATAAGGTTGATTTTGGCCTGCAGCGCATTCACTCCACGATACACAAACCCACCATTAGTCATCCTCTTGGTCAGAATTTCCGTCCTGTGTGAAAAGGAATAAAAATTTCTTTTTTATTTCTAACATTTCGATGACTTTTTAATGTTCAACTCATTTACCATCATCAAGAACATACCTATTTGAAGAAAAAAAAAAAGAAAAAAGTGGGAAGGAATCCGTAAAATGATAGAAAGTTATTGATTTCTTAAATTTGAATGATGGATGGGAAATTCTACAGGTACACAAATTACAAAATTTTCATAATGAAAGTTTTAAAAAGGGAGGGAAAAAAATAATCCTATTAACAGGTGCTAAGCCTATTAAAGGTGCTCTTTAAACTCAATTCACGGGCTAGGGCTGGGGCTCAGCAGTAGCGCACTTGCCTGGCATGTGTGAGGCACTGGGTTTGATTATCAGCACCATATGTAAATAAATAAAGGTCTAAACAACAACTAGAAATAAATAAATAAACTCAATTCACCTTTGTTTATACAGCAGGTGGACACTGTCCTTGTTACCATTCCCAGTGTCTGGAACACCAAGCAGAGCACATTTAGAAAAGTGGTAAGAGAAGTAATGAGCCTTCTAGGGTCAGTAAAGCTCTGAGTGACAGTGCTCACCCAACTAAACACTTAAAAAAACACTAATCTTGAAGAATGAAATTTGGTACAATCTGATGGACAGACTGTTAGCTCTTCAGATCACATTCTTGATAAAGGAGATGCTAGACACCCACGTAGATGACCGACACTGATCTCTCCAACAGTCTGTTGTTCACAGGTTTGAAAAGTATCACCTGCGGCCACTTCAGCATTACTTGAGGTAGACATATGTTCAGCATGCAAAGTTTTCCATTTTAAAATTACAAACACTTTTGTCTGTCTTAAATGGGTTGATTCTGAAGGGCACCAGCCTTGATCACTCCCCTTGAAATGCTCAGCTGTCACCTCCTGCTGCAGCTTGGGCAGAAGGGCTCTGCTCCCTCCATGTCACATGCTCCCAACATTCTGTTCTCTGGAGTTTCCCTAAGTGTAGTCTCCCATGAAAACCAACAAACATGGGGCTGCGGCTGCAGCCAGATCAGGACTGAGCCTCTGAGTGACTGACCAGCAAAGGGTGCCACTGGCTCACTGCAGGTGAGAACAGAAAAGCCACAGAGAGCAAAGCTAAAAAGGCAAAGCCACAATCAATGACCACCATTCTCAGGACTTCTCTTCTAAACCCGAGTTTCCTACCATTTAAAAAAAAATGTTCTCTGTGGGCTGGGGATGTGGCTCAAGTGGTAGCGCGCTCGCCTGGCATGCCTGTAGCCCGGGTTCGATCCTC